ATGACAACAAAATCCAGTTCTTGCTGCTTGCACCCACTTGTGACTATCTGCTTCTGTCCACTGAGAACAAGCTGACTTATCTATGTTCTATACATGTGTCATGAAGCACAGGTAAAGCACGCCGTTCCATGTGCCTACTGTGATAAACTTGTCTTGTTGTCAACCACAGTGCCCATTAAATCAATCTCTTTCATTCTTCACTGGAGACAAGTCTTGGAGAATACTACGATCTATTCAAGAATGCAAAACAACTTGAAGCTGTCACATTAATTGATCAGAAATAAGGATGTGGCTATAGTCTGATATCATTAATGAACATTAGATCAGATGGATGGTAGAAATCCCAACTAAAACCATCCAAACTTCTGTCCTTTGTGGCCTTTTATCTTCTCTTTGATTTAAAGAGAATCATTAATGTGTTCTTATTTGGAGTATTCTACGCTACGAGCTTGTACAATTCTACATGTGTGTCTTTGTCCCTGTAAAATAGAGATAAGTGGAATGTCAAAAGGACTTCATCTCCTGTAAGGAGTCAAAAAGAGGGATATATTAGAATTCTGTGTAATAGCTCAAGTCAGTTTCAAAATATCTCATTTCTGTGAAATACAGTGGTAGTATGGTATATAAGACACAGTGTTTGTTTCCCAGTGGACTGTGTTTCCCAGTGGACTGTCACTGTCCTATCATGCTTCAGTTTCCCCAGCTGTAAAATGGGGATAGTGATACTGACCCCCTTTCTAAAGCTTGTTAAAGCTTTGATGAAAGCTACTGTTGAAAAGTGCTATGTAAGATTGAGGTGGCATAGTTTATTACCTTATTATAAAATTTGCACAGAAATGGCATAGCCCAAACACTAGAAATAATGGTTTGGGATAAATATTCTGCAGCAAGATATGTTAATATTTTGTTACATAATCTGTTTTCCTCCACTTCTCTTTAGTACATTTGCACATTTCAAATAGATAAAACGTGTACTTTATCATTTTAAAAAGCTGATAGATTCTCTATTACTATGGTAACTTCTCAAAGTATCCACTCAAGACTGAAGGCTTCATTGTATTAGATAACGTAAAAACACATGCGTACATGGATGTCTTTCTGATATGGGAAAGATGTGTTTATATTTCAAAAAGAGGTCTCCAGCTTCATCTTCCCCCTCAAAAGTGTCTAACAAAGTACGGAATGGGGTGTCTAAACTGTCAGTGTGTGTAACCAAGTCTGCAGGAATTTGTGAGACAATCAGCTTCACTGGTGTTATGAAAATAAAATTACTGCATTACTGGAAGTTATTGTATAGTACCAGGACGGTTGTTTCCTGTTCAGTTATTTTTATTCAGGGCATGACTATTGGCAAAGGACCATATAATCAGGAGAACTTTTACTCTCCAGACTGATTGCAATTATTTTATTTAATAAGACTGTGCATAATTCCAGCCATGGAATGATAATCCTTGATTTGTAAGGATCTCCATTTCCTCAGACTTGAGCATGATGGATTTCGTCGTATGGGATATTTCCCCCCAATTGTCTTTTAATTAATTCAGTTATTATAAGTTAATTATTAAATATTTGGCAGCATTTTCAACATGCAAAGAATGATTATAAATGCTATTTTTATAAAGCAAATGAAAATCAGAAACAATCTGCCATTTATTTTCTAAAAATAGCTATTAATCATTTTTAAAAATGAACATGGCTGTTAAAAAGACCAGTTTTTAAATATATATAACACAATGAAAGGTGGAAAAACAAGGTCAGTTCTCCACATTTTACATGGCTTAAATCAAGACGACCATGCATATAACAGCAACATCTGAATACTAGTGGCCAAGTTTTCCCAAGGACAGTGTAAGAGGTTTGCCCGCGAAAAGGTGAATTCTCTTGTGCTCTCACTTGCATTTACAGCTGGGCATTTATGTCCATAGTTAACCATTTTGAGTGTGTAAATGCTGTCTTTTAGGAGGACAGTTGGCTACAGGTTTGCATTAGCTGCTCTTGTGACCCCCTTAATGCTTGAGGGCTTTAGTTTTGTGCAGGGCATATATATGCAGAATGCTTCTGGGTGTGCTGGAGACCTCTCCATCCACAGAGCTCTATTTGGGGTACAGGGGCCTTCTACAAAACACTCTGGGTGGGTGGGGATCATAGGAAGTGCACAGGGCCTGGTATTTGGGGGATGGCACTCTCCAGAGCTCCCAGTTTGGCACTGAATTGGTGTGAGTAACATATACCAGGATGCTGTTTACATAGGTGTGATATGTTTGGGAGGGGGGCATGTCTTGCTTTTCCAGATGCCCAAAGATTTCTTGGATCATGTAACAAGGACTCCCTCTCCCCCCACCCCCGCCTCAGCCTACCTGTAGAGTAGCAATGTCCCTCACTCCCCACCCACCCACCCAAACACACCTGAGATGATATTTACTATAGGGATGGGAGCACAGCCTGCATCAGTCAATCTGCTCCCTATGACCTCCAAGCTGCTTAAGAGGATATTGCTGGTTAATCTGACTACATCGTTCAGGAAAATACCTTAATGGAGTAATTACTTACTTACTTGTATTGTGAAAGGGCAGCGTCCTGTTGTGCTTGACACTGCACACATGCATCATTAATCAGACCAAGAACATATTTTCATGCATCTCTGCATTCAGTAGTTTTGTCTGGTTAGGATATAGCAAATGCAAGCAAGAGTGCTGAACACAAGTGGTAGAATGATGGTCACTTAACAGTACTTCTGTGTAGCTATACAATACAATCTCTGTCACATACTAATGTGCCATTTGTGGATTTGAGATCTCTCAGGACGGCATGGCCAAAATGTCAGGAAAAAAGAAGACTTTGGGCACTGTAATTTCCCACAAAAGACACAACTTCTGCGAAGAGGGAGAACAGTAACAGAATTCAGAAATAACTGTTCACGTTGTAGAACTGCATGAGGTTCCAAAAGCTCACTGCAGGCTCATCTGGCTTTGGTGCATTCCCCTGATGCACCATTGCCCTTTCATCAGTCAGCTTTGTATGCACATAGGGCGATGAGGGAAGGATTAAACTATTGGCATATGGCTGTAGGTGAGGTGCCTGGTAGCCTGGAAAGTTTGGCATTTTCTGGGCGAGAAACTGAAAGGCAGGCTGTGCTTTTTATGACCTTTTTACTCTCCAATCATGAATAACCATGGTAACATAACCCTCTTTGATAGTGGTGTGTAATGTGGAAAACAACAAAAATATTGCCTCAAATTAATAAAGTTCCCAAGCTGTGGAGAATCGTGCTGAACTGAGGACCAACCATATCGAATTAGGAAGCTACTACTAGGAAACACTGATTGGGGAAGCGGTCAGAGTTCATATTTTTTAGTGATGTGTGCTGTCATTTTATTTCCCAAATGACACACTTTTCAAAAGTGAGTTGAATTGTATTGGTTTTATTTGTGTGTGTTGGGAAAGTCTGACTAATTCCCCGGAGGCCAGTATTGTGGTCCGAGCTCCCACCTACTGCAATTAGTGGATCTGTAATTATTGTAATGGTGTTCAAATGTCTCCCATTCTCCTCAACAGGGAGCAATAGAAATGTGGGTTTAAATCTGAAAGCTTCCCTCTAGAATACATTATTGAACTTTAAAAATTCAGACCCCTTTTTTACATGAGCAAGTAAGAATGGAAACAACTCAAGCTCCCTTTCCTTATGACCAAAGCTGCCTTATTCACTTTGCAGAAAAAGCTGTTTTCATTACATAAAACTTCTGTTTAAATTCTACACTTCTGCCATACTTTAGATGCTGAACATTTATTATGTGCTATGTACTGTAGTCTGTATCATTTGCAAGGTAAGGACATTTAAATGGCCCACCTTGATTATCATGCACATTGTAGGGAGAGTGGTCACTTTGGATGAGCTATTACCAGCAGGATAGTGAGTTTGTGTGTGTGGTTTTTGGGAGGGGGGTGAGGGGGTGAGAGAACCTGGATTTGTGCAGGAAATGGCCCAACTTGATTATCATGCACATTGTGTAAAGAGTTGTCACTTTGGATGGGCTATCACCAGCAGGAGAGTGAATTTGTGGGGGGGTGGGGGGGGGTTGGAGGGTGAGAAAACCTGGATTTGTGCTTGAAATGGCCCAACTTGATGATCACTTTAGATAAGCTATTACCAGCAGGACAGTGGGGTGGGAGGAGGTATTGTTTCATATTCTCTGTATGTATATAAAGTCTGCTGCAGTTTCCACGGTATGCATCCGATGAAGTAAGCTGTAGCTCACGAAAGCTCATGCTCAAATAAATTGGTTAGTCTCTAAGGTGCCACAAGTACTCCTTTTCTTAGTACCTTTTATTTCTGACACACGCTATTAGAGAGGAGAGAGTGAGGGGCTTCATTCTCTACCACCTGATGACTTTAACACTAGAGAGAGGAAATAGCAGATTAAAATCTGCAAGCACCTCTATCAACCACTAACTTATTTAAATCAAGATCAGAAAGCCCATAAACACAGAAAGAAAAGAAACATAAATCTGAAGCCTCTTCAGAGTTTCTCTTGGCAATTAATGTTTTGTAAAGATGACATAAACATTTCAAAATATATAAACCTATTTCTGCTCTTCTCGTTTTACTACTAGCATCAAGCTATGATTCTATGAATATCAAATTAGAACAATAAGGTTTAATTCCTACTTTGCACAGGACAACGGGATGCATGAGGCTGATTGTTACCTTAAATAAGTAGTACCTACTTTTCTACAATGAACTTCGTACAGATCCCCTTCTGGTAGGCAACACAACTTATAACTAGGGTAGATTTGTTATGTATTATTTTTCTTCACTCTTCCAGGCAAAATCTGCAAGTCAGCTATGCACTCTTATAACCTTAGAGTTAAGTGTCATCCACTATGTTTTCCCTCCCTAGTTGCCACTTAAACTGCTAGTAATAACAAATCCTTCAGGACATCAATAGAGTCACTGTTGAATAATCACAGCCTATCAGGCAGTAGGCTTGCAACAGCAGCTCCACTGCCTGTGACATCACTCCTGAAGCTCAAACCCCACGCTAAGCTCCCTTCATTAGTCAGTCTGTTGGTCTGTCTCCTTTTCTAGATCTACAGACCTTTGCACACCGGAGCATGCTGCTCTGAGAAGAAGAGCTGTGGAAATCAGAAGCACGGGGAAAGAAAGAAAAGAGGATACAGAGAAAGAAACAAAGAAAAAAACAAAAGACAATCTACAATATGAAATTCATCTCAGCTTGTTACTTGCTGCCTCTTTTCCCTGTTCTAGTTTTCAGCACTAGGTGAGTACAGAAAGCTATTTTACTTGGAGTTCTCTTGTTTTGTCTGCTGTTTGTCTTTAAGATTCATTCTTCTCTCTCAAATCATAGAGATTCCAGCTTCTTCCATGGTTGTAAGTTCAGAGTGTCTTTTCTTCAAATTACCGGTATTCCATTTCCCCTCGCCTCCACCTCAGATACTTTGAGAGATTCTGAATCTTCACTTGGTTACTCCAGCTTATTTATGCCCTTGCCTTTTTCCCAGAAAAGCTGATTGCTCTACAATAACCGAAAGCTTTTGTGATGAAACAAAATGTTTCACAACAATAAGCTTGATATATGGTGCAATTATAACAAGGGGACTGTGTACCAGTGCAAATCAGGGAGCCAAAGAACAGAAATTGAGATCATAATAAACATTTTCCCCATTAGAGTGCAAAAATAAAATAAACACTGGAACAGTCTTGCTGCAGTGAGGGTTTTACATTTGAACATAGCCTATTTTAAGGTTTATTGGTTTTCATCTTAAACACAGGAAAGATGCTGCAGTGGCAGCAGGATGCCTGAAAACGTGTTAAAAAGTTATTGCTATCTAGAAACATTACTCTCTCCTGTAATGTACAATAGACCATGGGGAAAACAGGAACATTGTCTATTACAGGTTAAAATCAGGGCTTGACTGTGCAGCATTCTGAGATATAAATTTTCCTAGGAGAGAGTATGTTTACAATGCCGGAGGCATAGCATGTGCAGCAAAGGAAAGGTAAAGCTACAACACGCTATCCTACTGTCACATTGTTCACTGATGGAAAGTTAATACTTTGTACATACTAGGTATGTTAGGTGAAGACATTTTCAAATGACACTGCTGTTGACACAAGCTTTCTAGCTTCCTGATGCTTAACAACTAACTGACATTTCTCTGTTTGTTAATAAGTACTCAGTAAACTTCTACATCCCTGGGGCATGTAATCACAGAGTGTATGTTTGTGTATGTCAGGGAACTATGTCCATCCACTTATTCCTAGTATCTTGCCATAAAATCTGCAGATAACACTGATATGGATGATAACTTCCCATTTTAAGCTCTAACTGCCCCCTAATCTAAGGGATGGTGGAAGTTCATATTTAACTCATGTTTGAAAATGAGTACCTCACACCTGCAGGTGTGTGAGAGAAGAAATGGGTCAGAATGCAGAGAGTGAAGTTGCAGGCTTACCAAAGGTTTGAATGTTGGTGAAATATGCCAGAATGGTGGAATGTCTTACTCCTCTTCATGTCTTTTTAAAATATTTCTGATTTAGGTTTTAATATTAGTCAGTCCCAATCACTGTGAATCACTCCAGTATTCTTTGAAATATCTTGCAATTCCCTTTTGAGTCTTTGTGTTGTGATTCAGTAATTATCCATAGATCCCTTTCGATTTAATAAGTAGACTGAAGAAACATTCAGTATCAGTCTTGTGAAATTCAAATGAATAATTTTACTTTATCTTAAAATTGTATATTCTTTGCTAAATTGCACTGGAGTTGAATTTAAAAGGGGGGAACAGAGAGCCAACCTTTCCAGATGTAATTTTTCATCTTAAATGGGCTTCTGAGTGAAGTGCTTTATGAGGGATTCATTGGCAGCCAATGTATCTGTTAGTTAAAATGAAGGAAAGAAAGGGAATTATCACATATTTCCATATTTCATAAAAAAAATAATATACTTTGGCAAAGATAAAGGGGCAGAGCCGAAGCTGCAACTGAGGATCTGGCCCAAAAGCATTAAAAAGGAAATCTGTCATCTTAACAAGAAAAGCAGTGCTTGCATACATATGTGAACTTCAGTAAATAGCTCATGATTTAAAACTGGATTTTACTTCCCACTGCAATTTGCCAAAGTATGAATAGAAAGTTGAAGTCGATGTTTGAATGCCATATGTGATCAGTGTAACTCCAGAAAAACAAACCGAAAACTTAGAGATACATTTGAGTGGCACATGATCAGTTACAGACCTATGTGATCTAATAAATAGTACACAAATGCAATGATTACAGTTCTTAATAAGAATCAACATTCAGGCAGAGAGATTTCAATCTAAATTCCTGTTTCAATTGTTAATATCAGGGTTCTGAATCATAGATTGTAAGATGCAGCTGTTACTTATGCTATTCCTGTGAAACCGTGCTGGATGTTCCGTTCAGCAGAAAAGTAAGTGGGACTCTAAAAATGGGGATTTGTAGGTATACAAAAGGAAATGTCCTGAAACAATGGAATGCCATATTAGAGCAATTTTTTTATTCCTCAGTTGTACTGACTATCTAAACAATGGAGCGATTTTCTTGCGATCATGACGGGAGTTAAAAAAACAATACAGTGCTATCAATATGTCGTTCACTGGGAGGAGATTGTGCTTTAGTCTGTTTCATCAGAAGGCCGTTATGTATGTGGCATTTAATAGTTCTTGCCAACATATGGTTAATGTGTAGGCTGGAACCCAAACAGAGCAGCTTTGCAGGAACAGTTGCTTTAGCAAAAAGGGGAACCTATTATCCTGCTGTGTGAAACCGCTTAGCTCAGGCAAAGAAAAGATCATGAGTAGTAATAAGTTTTCTACCATGAGATTTCTTTAGAAGTGCTTTCCTCTCAAGTTGTCGTGTATGCAGGGCAATCTCTGTATAACCTGTTTGTGGGTGCTGAAATCAGTGAGCAGTTACTTGATGAGAAATGTGGGCAGTTGCATTTATTCCTCTTTGGCATTTGGAGAGATCATCTTCCTTGCATCACTTTATTGTTATAGTTTTGTGAGGCCTCTGCAGAGAAACCTAATATTAAACATATTTGCATTGACGTAACACATGGTGCACATGATTTTACTTTTGGGATTTACAGAGGCCAAAAAGAACAAAGTTTATGTTGTGGTGATTACTGCAGGTTTTTATTAACTGAAATGTGTAGATTTTTTCATAAATATGGGGTCCAGATCCCCAGCTGGATCTGTGCTGATATGCACCAGCTGAGGATCTGGCCCATGATGTGTCACTGCAAAGAAAACCTAGAGCTGTTGAAGCAAATATTATTTTTAATATATCCTTTTTGTTTATTTTTTGGTGTTTCTCAAATCCTAGTGATTTCTCTAAATGATGATTATTTGGTGCTGTGAACAATTGCAAACATCTGAGGTTTGATTTAATAAACACCATTGACGTCACTAGCTACTGCATGAATAACAACTCCAGGATGAGGCTTATTAGAGGTAGGGACCAGCAACTCTGTAAAAATGTCAACCCTAAGTGTACCCAAGGGGACCTTTTCTAAAGTTTGGAAAAGTTTGGATAACTTTCTTTCTTTTTTGTGGTCCATTTTTACACGCTTTTGCACTTCCTGCTTTTGGAAGGACCAAACTGTGTTCTCCTAATATTTCCTATGCATTAGGAATGATGAAAAATATTATTTATAAAATGTTATATTGCTGTAGCACCCAGAGGCCTCAGTCAGTCAGGACTGGGGCCCTGTTGTCCTAGGTCAGGGGTTCGCAAACTTTTTGGCCCGAGGGCCACATCGGTGTTGTGAAACTCTATGGAGGGCCGGGTAGGGAAGGCTGGGCCTCCCCAAGTGGCCTGGCCCCTGCCCTCTATGCACCCCCTTCCACTTCCCGCCCCCTGACGGCCCCCCTCAGAACCCCCGACCCATCCAACCCCCCCCTGCTCCTCACCCCCTGACCGCCTCTTCCCGGGATGTCTGTCCCTATCTGTCCCCCTGGGACCCCACCCCCTATCCAACCCCCCCTTCTGCCTGTCCCCTGACTGCCCCGACCCCTATCCACCTGACCCCTGACAGGCTCCCCCGGACTCCCATGCCTCTCCAACCCCTGACTGCCCCCTGGAACCCACTGCCTGCCCCGTTACCATGCCACTGTTAAATCTGGTGGAAGGTTAAATGTGGGTGTCCTACAGTTTATTAGATTGATGATAAAAGCAAAATGTTTAAAACATTTCTCCTAAACTAAAATCTTCCCCATGTTGTAAACATTAATTATGCTGCTACTGGAAGATGAAAGTGACTAGAAAGGGCTCCTTCCTGCCCTTCTAGGTGGAAAAACAAGCCTCAGACATGTTTGGTATCAGCTAGTGCTGAATACCCAAAGGTTGCTCTCTGAGAGGCCACAATCTTGGAGTACAGGAGTGCCCTTCCTTTTCCCCATGATGGCAGGCTTGGTGTGTAGGAGAGTTCTGGAGACAGGTAGTCTCAGACAGGAACTACCATCCTGGCCGGAAAGAGCAGTCGATGTGTCCATAGGATTTGTGAGTAATAGAGACCACCTTTATGTTGTTCTTTCTGAATTCCTTCAGGAATTCAGGGGGCACTGACTGCTTATAATTAATTTCATATTTTTACCATCTCAGAACTGGCTTTCTTGGATATTAAGGCATTTTGATTTCTAGCAAACAGGATGGTAATATGTGCCTGGTAAATGGGGTTTGTGCGTTGGGACAGGGTGGCAAGTGGTATTTGGTGTTGTATAGCAGCAGTACAATATGTCCAGATGGATGCTCCTCATGGGCCATTTTGCTGAACTGCAGCCACACCTGATTATTTGTTCAGTATATTACTGCCAGTCAATTCTCTGGATTTCTATTAAACATAATCAGCCAAATCCATCCCTGGTTTAATTGCATTGATTTCAATGGAGTTGAAATCAATGTACTTAAATCAGGGGATGGATTTGGCCCAACCACGATATAATTACTTATGATTTAGGGTCTAATCCTGAAAGAGACAAGAGGTGCTTAGTGCCCATAACTTCCAGTAACCTTGCTGAGACAGAAGGATGCTCAGCACTTTACAGAATATGACTCTCAAGGCTAGCCTTATTACATAATGGATAGTGATTCAGTAATTGTCCATGGATCTTTTAATTTATGAAATAGGGGATTTGCTTTCTCCATATGTTCATGATCTATCATTGAGATTGGTATATCTGGGTATAACTCTACATATCAGTTCTATTTCCCCTTACGTCTTATGCTATGTTTATA